TTCAGGCAATGCGAAAAAGGAATAATTCGGAAAACTGCAATGGAAACGTTTTTTCCACATTTACAGGTCGCATAGCGTATGTAAAAAGTCATATGATCATTCTTCAATGTACTATAACCTCCAAGAAACACATCATACGTAGCCCCGCTCTCCAGTATATGGGGCTTTCCCTACCATTAATGCTTAGACAATTTACACTGCACACGTCTGTGGTGCAGTGTGGCTCTGATCCGGCCACTGAAGCTGATTGCGGCCACAATGCTTGTGTTTATTCCAGAATCCAGCCGCGCCGCGCACGTTTCTGAAGCGGCTCTCTGTGCTGCTTCTGTAAAGATACACGCATACGCCTCCTTTAAATAAATCTAGCCAAAATCCGTCAAAATCCAAACCAAAATCTGCTGCCATGATTTATCGCGAGAGGCAAAAGGTTACGTTTTAGTCGCATAACATTGGTTAATGGAAACGACGTCATTTCGCAATACTTTTTTATCGACATTTATAAAATATCGCCAAAGTTTTGAGCAAATCTGTAATGGAAACGCGCCTAATGAAATCAAACTTTCAATTAAAATTTCTAATTCCAAAGAAGCTACTTTGTTTATGGTTTACATCCCCAACCTGTCTTTTAACTTCTCCCCTTCAAACATCTGGATAGATTTTAGGAAAAACAATTTCCAATGTATAAATTCCTATCCCATTTTTTTTTTTTTTCAAATCCTAGTTTTCTCTGAATTACGCTAAATTATGGTAGTAAAATGGATTTGGAAATGCTAACATGAATTAAGCTAGAACAACACACTCTCACACAGACACAGACACAATAAATGATCTAATCCTTATTGGATCCTGCTGTCTGAGACACAAAGCCAGATTAAACTTTTGATGAGCATTCTTGAACTCTAGAAACTGTAGCAGAGCAGTCGTATTGTTCTAGCGGTGGAACTCGGACCAAATAGAGATCATCCATCCCCTGGTATCAGGAACTCCCCTCCTGCAAGAGTAACAGATCTGATTACAGTTTAGCAGAAGGAGCAAAAAAAAAGCTTCTCATTGGACGGTCTCTCTGTGAAACAGGAGTGCGCCGTCATGGCTCTTCTATTAAGAGGGCAGTGTCCAACCTTGTTCAGATGACAGTGACAAATAGGGCCCATTAAAAACCTCTATGGAACAAATTGGCAGACTGTGGTTGGTTTCCCGATTAGACCGCAGTGGCTCAGTATCTAAAGGAATCCAATGAGCAGCTGTGATAGAGAATATTTAGCCAGGAAATCTCATCAAAAAGGACAGACTCTAAAAAAAGATAGAGCTGTTCCAGAGAACTTTTGATTGAAACCGTAAAATACTGATCTCGGATCTGAACTCAGTGTGATACAGGAGGGTGCTTTCCTGTCACAAATAACACAGGCCATTTCATTTTGGCTTCTCTTTATTCTGAACGATTGTGTACTGCCAAAACTACTACAATAATGTTCTGTAAATCAAAATGTCAGGGCCTTCAGGGTTCCAAATCAACAGAATCTCAAGGTACAGAACCTTACATTTTTTTTTCATGAAACAACCAGAAATTTTCAACCTATGCTGTCAGATGTAAATGTTTCCTGGTGAATGGGAGAATAGGTTAAGCGGTTAAGAGGCTGCACTTCTCTAGCATGATGGCAAACCATCGAGATTACACTCATGCTAATGCCTTCTAAGATGATTACTGCTATTTCAGGAAGTGACCTTAACCTTTAACAGCATTTTATTGAAAATCAATAGAATGGGGACAATATGTACATGATTGTTTAAATTTGTTTTTAGTATCACAGATGCAAGCTAATTATACAGTTAGGTTCTAAATGCATTAGGTGGAGTCATCTGTGAATGACTGCAAGAGGGCAGCAAAGAACGTGAAGGCCTGTTAGGATCACGTCACCTTTTCCAATTAATAGAAAGCAGTTTATTCCAGCCGTGCCACGCACGTTTCTGAAGCGGCTCTCTTTGCTGCTTCTGTAAAGATACACGCATACGCCTCCTTTAAATAAATCTAGCCAAAATCCGTCAAAATCCAAACCAAAATCTGCTGCCATGATTTATCGCGAGAGGCAAAAGGTTACGTTTTAGTCGCATAACATTGGTTAATGGAAACGACGTCATTTCGCAATACTTTTTTATCGACATTTATAAAATATCGCCAAAGTTTTGAGCAAATCTGTAATGGAAACGCGCCTAATGAAATCAAACTTTCAATTAAAATTTCTAATTCCAAAGAAGCTACTTTGTTTATGGTTTACATCCCCAACCTGTCTTTTAACTTCTCCCCTTCAAACATCTGGATAGATTTTAGGAAAAACAATTTCCAATGTATAAATTCCTATCCCATTTTTTTTTTTTTTCAAATCCTAGTTTTCTCTGAATTACGCTAAATTATGGTAGTAAAATGGATTTGGAAATGCTAACATGAATTAAGCTAGAACAACACACTCTCACACAGACACAGACACAATAAATGATCTAATCCTTATTGGATCCTGCTGTCTGAGACACAAAGCCAGATTAAACTTTTGATGAGCATTCTTGAACTCTAGAAACTGTAGCAGAGCAGTCGTATTGTTCTAGCGGTGGAACTCGGACCAAATAGAGATCATCCATCCCCTGGTATCAGGAACTCCCCTCCTGCAAGAGTAACAGATCTGATTACAGTTTAGCAAAAAGGGTTCTCGTGGGACGGTCTCTCTGTGAAACAGGAGTATGCCGTCATGGCTCTTCTATTAAGAGGGCAGTGTCCAACCTTGTTCAGATGACAGTGACAAATAGGGCCCATTAAAAACCTCTATGGAACAAATTGGCAGACTGTGGTTGGTTTCCCGATTAGACCGCAGTGGCTCAGTATCTAAAGGAATCCAATGAGCAGCTGTGATAGAGAATATTTAGCCAGGAAATCTCATCAAAAAGGACAGACTCTAAAAAAAGATAGAGCTGTTCCAGAGAACTTTTGATTGAAACCGTAAAATACTGATCTCGGATCTGAACTCAGTGTGATACAGGAGGGTGCTTTCCTGTCACAAATAACACAGGCCATTTCATTTTGGCTTCTCTTTATTCTGAACGATTGTGTACTGCCAAAACTACTACAATAATGTTCTGTAAATCAAAATGTCAGGGCCTTCAGGGTTCCAAATCAACAGAATCTCAAGGTACAGAACCTTACATTTTTTTTTCATGAAACAACCAGAAATTTTCAACCTATGCTGTCAGATGTAAATGTTTCCTGGTGAATGGGAGAATAGGTTAAGCGGTTAAGAGGCTGCACTTCTCTAGCATGATGGCAAACCATCGAGATTACACTCATGCTAATGCCTTCTAAGATGATTACTGCTATTTCAGGAAGTGACCTTAACCTTTAACAGCATTTTATTGAAAATCAATAGAATGGGGACAATATGTACATGATTGTTTAAATTTGTTTTTAGTATCACAGATGCAAGCTAATTATACAGTTAGGTTCTAAATGTGTTAGGTGGAATAATACATTCTGCCAACATCTGTAAATGACTGCAAGAGGGCAGCAAAGAACGTGAAGGCCTGTTAGGATCACGTCACCTTTTCCAATTAATAGAAAGCAATCTGCCATGAACACAATCAGTGGGTTGAGGCAAAGGTCAGAGAAGAATAAAAAGAATGACAGATTATGGACAGGAAAATGAAGGCAATATTTCACAAATATTACATTATCCAAGGCTAAATCCCTGTCCCCAGATCATAATACCACAGCTCCAGCAATTAAACACACAACTACGATTTAGCATATTGCATCTAAACACATTGTTTTTTTTAATTACGCTATTTTTCTGCATGACTGAATCTCATCCAACACAGTAAAAGCTTTAAAACTTAGAGCTAAAGAGACAGCAACCATAGGGCCTTGATTCAAAAAATCTTGGCAAATGCAGCTAAAACATAAGCGAATGATTAAGAAATTCTGCAAAATGCTTCTATGACAGACTACCATTTAAAGCAAAAGCTGTGATTTTCACAAAGCTTGCATGACTCCCTACACTTTCATGAAAACCAATGGAATATTTATATAAAGCAACTATAACTATAAAGCAATTTCTTTAAAGAAATAAGGAAATACTTAATGGTGTTACATTTACACTTTTCTTCAAATTGAGCAAACATACTCTGACCATTGGTCAACTCCGAGTTTCTTTACTAATTGATTGAATGAACCTTTGCTTTAGACCAGAATAAAGATCCACATCCTGGTGAAAAAGTTAACAGACTGTGACAGCACAGTGGTCCATCTCATTATAGAAATTATGAGAAGACGTTATATTCCAGAATCATCAATTGTACATTCTATATTCAACTAACGAAGTGCCTAAACATTTAATAAAATCATGGAAGTCAAAACCATCAACCTCTAGATCTCACAAATGCTTACTAAAAGCACATGAGAGCATTTGTCCTTCAGTTGCAATTGACCTTGAGTATGAATAAAGGAGTTAAACCAATCAAGATTCAAAACCAATCTGATTCTCCTTTACAGAAAAGACAAAAGCTTGCCTTGCGGAGATTTGAGCTTATGAAGAACACGTTTAAAATACCAGAGGCACAGGGAAGCATCTCCTGCCACATCAGCAAGGTTAAAAATAACTATATTTCAGAAAAAAGCCCTAAAGCGGCAGAATGTGCCCACTGCTTAAGAATGAAATATGAGCAAATGTCACCTGAGCAGACAAAGCACATGCAATCTTAATGGAACAAATAATAAAAAAGAAAACATTGACCTTAAGACATAAATACACTGTTTTAAACTAGAACAATGAACATTAGAACACTCTTGGCGTGAATAAACTCAAGCAAATATCCTAAAAATGTATTAGTGAGTAACATCTGTATGCTGCTCAGAAAATCACTTATAAATAACTTTATTCTGCACCTCGTGTTTTCATTGACCTATTTTCCTACTACAAGGAAAAATGGTTCTTTTTACAAAAAAGAAAACATAAGCTTACCTATGAGAGCCTGGAAAAGACTGCTTTTGAAAATACCCATGACTCTTAAGATGGCAGTTTTGAGCTGTTGTTCCTCTGGTTTCTTCAGTTTGGAGCAGTAGTCCTCCAGGAGGCTTATTGCTCTGGCTGTGTCTGTAAAACAGAATAAATGTTATGCTACTGGCATTTTTTAATCTACAACATTTAACATGGAACTACCTAACATGTATTATTTTTTATGTATAATTACATTTATTTTTAAATAAATGTCTTTAGAGTGCTGGCTCACAAACAAGAAAAAAAGAAAATGTATAAAATCAAAACTGCCCCTTTTTAATTTTAAAGGAATATTTCACCCCAAATATTGAAAATTTCTTGAAAATGTACTCACCTTCAGGCCATCCAAGAAAGTACATGTAAATGAGTTTATTTCGTCATCTGAATAGATTTGGAGGAATTTAACATTACATCACTTGCTTACCAATGGATACTCTGCAGTTTAAATAGCTAAAATACAATAAAAACGTCACAATAAATCACACAACTCCAGTCAATCAATTAATGTCTTGTGAAGCAAAAAGCTTCATGTTTGTAAGAATCCATCAAGGTATTTTAACTTTAAACCATCACTTCCGGCCTAATTCCTTAATCCAAAATAATGCTTCCTTCAGTGATCAAGTCCATCCCCTGTTGTCTTCTCACATCAAAATCCACTGACATGTATGTTAAGAACTGTTTTGGAGAATGTTCCCTTGTAAACAGTGCTTGATCTGTGCATATTTCTCTCCTGATTCAGACGATTCAACTTTATTTTACTGCAGAAATCGATATTATGGATAACACAACGTTTTAAAGTTAAAAGCATCTTAATGATGCATTTGTTTACTACAAACACATAGCTTTTTGCTTTACAAGACATTATGGACAGGGGTCATGTGGATTATTGTGATGTTTTTATCAGTGGCTTGGACTCTTATCCTGACGGCACCCATTCACTGCAGAGGACCCACTGGTGAGCAAATGATGACCACATTTTTTTCGATGAAGAAATAAACTCAACTACATCTACATGGACTGAAGGGGAATAATCTTCTGGCAAATTGTTATTTTTGGTGAACTATTCCTTTAATGCACATTCCTAGTCAAACTGTGAATGATTCCTTGATGCAGGTTTCGCTCAGTGTGTCACATTATAAAACTAAAATGGGTTGTGAACAGAGATCTGCATTGAAATTAATGACTCAGAATGTCTGAACTGACAATTAAGTTTTACTTCCAATGGGACATCCTTAATGAAAACAGCAGAGAAACTGTCTTCAAACAATTCACTGTATTTCTACATGCTTTATAACATAGTAACCAGTTAACAACTTACAAAGACCCTGAGAGACTCTTTACTACTGGCACAGATCATGAGAGTGACTGAGCATGACTCAGTCACTTAGCCACACAGACAAACAGCAGAGGTGTAAAGTATTGGAGGAGTAAATGTAATTAGCTGTACTTGAGTATCTTTTCGGGTGCTTTGTAGTTGTACTGAGTATCAAAGATATTAGCAACTTTTACTCTTTACTTCACTACATTTTTGAATGAGTATCTCTACTCTTTACTCCACTACATTTGAAATGAGTGTTGCAGTTACACATTACATTTTGCATGGACCTAGCTTTTTCTGCAGCAGTTTATTTCTGCTACAAAAGACGTGATACTGCCTATTACAGGTCACTGAAAGTACTGCATCTTGTGCGTTTTGCCCTTACTCACCCAAACTTTTCAACAAGGCTACTTTATGTGAATGCGAGTTCCTTAAGTATTTGTGAATCACAGGTGTTTTATAAATGAGATGAGGACTTGACTGCAGCCGGCAATGAGGCCCAAACCAGCACAGCCAGTGCAAGAAGGCTTCGGCTTTTTAATTTTACTTAACATTATTTTATTTATCCATTATACTGAAGAGACATTTTTGAAAGATGTTGTTTTTTGTTTGTCTGTTTGTTTGTTTTGTTTTGTAATTTTGAGGTGTTCAGTTTTATTTTAGTTTTAGATGCATCTTTGAGCCTATATTTAGTATAAGTAAAATACTTAAGTACTGTTAAAATCAGATACTCTAAGACTTTTACTCAAGTTGTTTTGGAATTGGTGACTTGTAACGTGTAGGGGAGTAATTTTCACTGTAAGGTATCTGTACTTTTACTCAAGTATGGTTTTTAGGTACTCTTTACACCTCTGACAAACAGACACTAGGGACAGGACGGGGGTTAATTCCAGTCTTCGACAGATCGTTCTGAGCAACACAATTTAGAAAAACTGAAAGAGCAACACATTAAAAAAAAAAAAAAATTGCAATTAGTAACATGTGCAAACGATTACTGTGCATGCATTAATGAGACTTCTGCTAATGATAAACTACTAGGACAATAAAATTGGAGATATACTACATTTACAGTGTGCATAAAAAGACTTTTAGGCATTTAAAGAGTAACTAAAAACACAGCTGCATAGCTGTCTGAAATATAAATACAAACCAGCATCCGAGATCATCCGAGGTCATAGGCAGGTTGGCCATACCTGTGTCTATTTTTACAGACTACAAACTTGCAGCAGAGTATAATTACACTATTAGTAGGTCTACATATATAATTACACATATTTTAGGCTTAGGAGGTACAGAAGTCAAAATAAAATAAGGATAATTAAGGCATGGCCACAACAGTCCTGCTATAACATGATCATCTTTGCCTGCTTCAGCAACCGCAACACATTCAACTAATCAAGTCTTGACATTCTGCATTACCCAGACACAACTATGAATACATGTGGAATTTGACATCTGTCATGCTATATTTCAACATTTTACACGTTCTGACAAATAAACATTATCCATAAAGCTTTTATGACCTCATATTGAGAGACTACATGTAATATTCGTGCTTTAAAATAACTTTGTCTACACTAGATGTGATTAAAATGATGGAAAAAAAGAACCGTAACCGTAACTGTAACCGGTCTGTACAGAGTTTAAAAAAAAAAAAAAAAAGATTTTTCGAGGTTATAAATAGAACAGATTAGGAGTACATTTTACAAGAAAACACTACTTCAAACTATTTCAAAATGTCATGTTTAGATTAGCCTAGTGTGTTACTTGCCATTTCTTCGTAAATATGTAAAATGTATGAGCAATGTCGGAATAAAAAAAAATTCTACACTATTTTTTTTACAGTGTACAATTTGTCTTATTCATTCATATAAGTTTTAACCTGAAATAATGCTGCCTTAAAGTGCGTACACTATGTAAACGACCGGTATACAGTCATATAATAATCATGTTTTCACAATCATGTACATACGTTGATGTTTATTTCTCACCTCGTTTTCTTAAGGGCATAATTACTCCTTTATGTCCTTGTGGGATTGTCACGCATGGAAACAGCAACACAAAAGTTTCGCCCTCATCTGCTGTCAGTGTCTTTGAGAAAGTGTCACCTGCTAAAGCAGCAAGTTCCTGCTCAGTTCGTTGATGTAGATGTAAAAGCGAACAGAATGGCAGCTCTCGGGGTCGTTGCTTGTAATTGTCAGGTTAAACAGGAAGAGACACGCGCCGAAACATCTTGCAGAAGAAAACACATGCTGAGCGCATGATTGTCGCTCATGAGAAATAAATCCATAATCCGATAGAAAGAGTGGAGAGTGATCGAGTGCACCTTGGTGTGGATGAGTCCATAAGAAATGCTCTCCAGTGTCTGAATATGTTCTCGGTATTGAGCTCTCTGAGGATTATTTTGCTGGAATATTCGCGCAACCACCGACTCCTTAAATGCCTTTGGTGTTTAACTACATAAACATAATTAAATCACGCTGTCCATAACACAACCCATACAGTCCTGACAAACATTAAAGGCGCAGTGACTAACTAAACTAAATCTAACCAGTAGTTTTTGCCCCAAAGGGCCATATACATCAAATTAGAAAGGCTCTCCAGTACATGGCTTGTCTTGGATTACATTCAGTCAGCATATGCCGATCAAGCATTATTTTAAATCCTTAAACTGCCAATATGGAGTTCCAGCAACAGTTCGTGGAATAAATAAGCATGACAGCCTGTGTAAGTTGAATGATGCATGCTTGTAAACGTTTCTTTAAGAACAACTTGTTCTACACATAGGGAATGACGTTCACGTGTTTTATGTTTTAGATTCTGATCCTTGAACAGAAGGAAACTGAAAATTAAAATAGGAGACTTTCATGATCATCTTGCTGTTCGACAAGCGCAATCCACTTTCACGTCACTTCAAGAACCAAGCAAAACCATCACCATACTGGCAAACTGGTGTGAAATCCAGATCTCAAGGTAGAGACAGAAGGCAGATTTAACTAAACAAGGCAGGATGTATTCCCCCCATGAAACAGCAGCCTGTCGGTGCGACGCCTGTCGGAAAACACCTGCAAGTTTCATCCAGCTTTCCGATAACGCATGGCTCCACAATAAACCAATCTGAGCAAATATATCCCAAAGGTCCTCGTCAAACGTCCCGAAAGGCAGTTAAGAACAACTTCACCTCCTTTCCCGTCATTTTTTCTGTCAACCTTTACGGCATCTTTTGCCAAAGCTGGTTTGCAGACTCTCTCTACGGTGGGTGCAGTATCACCACCAGCAGCAGCATCATCACCAGTTTCGCCTTAGCAACGAGAGGGTTGGCCCGCGGGGATTGACAGGGCGCGTCCTCCAATGGCGTTCGTTCATCCGGTCAATTGGCGCACGCACGGACCAATAGGAATCGCCGTATTGTTCCTGGATCTCGGGGTGAGAGTTGACTGGAACATGTGGTTAGACATGGCTGCGCCCTGCTGGCATTGAGGACCGTGACTGTTGAACACTGGATGGAATAGTTTAGCGCTTATTTGAAAGCTCTTTTGTGGGTAAGTAGCAATCCTACGATGCATAAATGCGGTAGTCACCATGTGCAAATAAAGTTGTCAATAAACAGACAGTAGACTGTGTGTGACATTCAGCTACACATCAACACGGAGGTAAAACAAATCAGCTGTCATTCGTCTGAATGAGTTATTGCGTTGCGTTTTTAAAACGACATATCTGTAAGTTCAGCTTATAAAGAAGCGTCTTACTAAAATATGTCCTCTACAGAGTATTAATATGAATTTCATGGATATCCAGATAGCAAGCTAGCATATAGAATTTATAAATGTAATAAACAGTATAAGTAGAATAATATAGTTACTAACATAGACAAAAATATCCCATGTAAGTTTATAAACGGACTTATGAATTACCAGTTTATAAAAGTCAATAATTATATATGTTGAGTTATTATTAATCTTATATTATGAAATGGAAATTTAACAAAATCAAAACTCACTGGTCGATAATCCGCTGCAGGTTTTCTTCTGACAAACCAATCGTTGATATTCAAACAGCGAATTTCGCGCTTCAGGCCACTGACGTTCACCTGTTGCCCATGAATTTTGGGCAAATTAAACTAATTCAAACCAAAATTAAATATATTCATTTTTAGTGAGCGGACACAATGTTGTTAAAAGGTCGACTGTCTGCAAGGAGTCAATCTGTTTATATTAAAACATCTGTATCTCCTTTTAGATCAACATGACAGACAACGGGATGTTTGTGAAAGACACAGGCCAAGGCCAGACAATATCCAGGGCAATGATTATTGAAATGCTGAATAAAAAGTTTGAAAAACTCCCTGATATAGACAAGTAAGTTAGTTTCATATCATACATACGATATGTCACAAATTTGTTTCTCCCATTGCAGTTAGCTAACGAACGTTCCCTGTTTTAACCCCCACAGAAAAGTCTTTTCATACGGCCCCATATATTTGGCTGGCAACGCTGGGTTTGCTGGCTTGGTTGCCAACAGCTTTTTCAGACGTGTACTCAATGTCACCCAAGGACGATTTACTTCCAGCCTTCCCATGGCTGTTCTTCCCTTTCTGACAACTGCCGCACTTTACACTGCGACCGTAACAAACCCTTTAATGTCAGGTATGGATGCAGTATCTTCTTCTCTCGAGTTTTTTTGGCGGATTGGCAAACCAACGTTAAAGGTGCATGTCCGCCACCTACTGATCTGGAGTGTGAAACGTACACGGTTCAGCTATGAATTATTAAAGTATTATAGATTTAAAAAATATATAATAATAATAATAAAAAAAAATTTTTTTTTACGTAAATAAATACAAAATTCCAAACTTCGAACACTTTCCATTAATCTTGTCTTTTTTAAATACTTAAACAATTCTCCATATATTCTTGATTGCATTACCCCATAACCTAATAGTGTCTTTAGAGATATACTATTAATTCCCATCAGTTCCAGTTCTTGGAACATCTGATGTCTTTCCCTTTCATACGCTATACATATTAAAAGAACTAAAATAGCAGTTTCTGGTAGTCCACATTTATCACAATTGCCTGTTTCATGTTTCCCTATTATGTGCAAAATGTGCAAACATGCTACATGTCCTATTCTCAAAGAACTCCTGCTAGATAGTCTTCCACATCCAAATGAAACCCTATTTCTCTGTCGACTTCAACTGCGTACGTGTAAAATAGAATTAATCTACTACAGTCTCACCCAAGTATTAAGATATAGGCCTATAAATAAACATGAACATTACATACTGGCAAGTATTTTTGCCACTTCCTCGCGTGTAACCAAGGACTCGCTTTCCAGGTATACCACAAAAGCCGCAAGGAAGGCAAGTCGTTGAAGAACAAATCTCCAGTGTTCATGATACCTATGGAAAGGTGAGGATGTATCAGGCTTTAATATAATTATCAAGGCTAGAAGCATGATCATTCAATCACTAAGGGAAAAAAAATAGTGTAAGAGGCATTTACACTGACCGATAGTACTGTTCAACTGGGAACTTAGTTTTCAGCTCTCCAGTGTGGTTTCTTACAGTGCAGAACAGCTCTCTGGCCTTTAGACACTTGCTGGGAACTGGAGGAGGGAATGAAAACGTATTCTAAAAGACATCATGTAGACCAAAAGACTTGGATCAAGTATTTTAACATACTGTCTTTGAAACCACTTGGTTGATGAACACTTTGAAGAACAGTGAGGATCTCTCTCGCTGTCTGCTCCAGAACTTGGACAACTTTTCTTATATCCTACAAGAAGAGCACAGAAAGATGAGCACAAATGGATTGAAAACAGCAAAATTCAAAAAGAGATCAGCAGAACATTCTGTCTAGACTTCAACATCTGTTGTACTTTATCATGTCTAGTTCATAACTCACAAATGTCCTGTGAAAGCATTACGGAGAATGCTACTGATAAAGCAACATTCTATGCAGAGGTTCTGCGACAAGTGCATAACATTTCAAATGGACTTCACGTTGCTACATAACCTTTTTTTTCAGGAAAGTTATTGTGCGTTTCCAAAAGCCAGTTTAGGTGTCAGTGCTGTTGTTTACCTCTCGAATATCTTGATCGGCACTCAAAAATCCTTGGATATAGCTAAACATCTCCGTTACAGACATCTTCAAATGTGCTGACGTGTGCGTCGCTCTTTACTGTGACCAGCTGTTCCAAATATACACTACTTAGACAACGTTAGGATGTAAACAGAGATTTATTAATTGTCGTGCTCGCGAACCAAACAGCCTGCAGTCATCAGCATGCACGTTAATAACTGTCCCTTCTTCTTCTTCTCTCGAGTTTTTTTGGCGGATTGGCAAACCAACGTTAAAGGTGCATGTCCGCCACCTACTGATCTGGAGTGTGAAACGTACACGGTTCAGCTATGAATTATTAAAGTATTATAGATTTAAAAAATATATAATAATAATAATAAAAAAAAATTTTTTTTTACGTAAATAAATACAAAATTCCAAACTTCAAACTCTTTCCATTAATCTTGTCTTTTTTAAATACTTAAACAATTCTCCATATATTCTTGATTGCATTACCCCATAACCTAATAGTGTCTTTAGAGATATACTATTAATTCCCATCAGTTCCAGTTCTTGGAACATCTGATGTCTTTCCCTTTCATACGCTATACATATTAAAATAGCATGCTCAACCGTTTCTGGTAGTCCACATTTATCACAATTGCCTGTTTCATGTTTCCCTATTATGTGCAAACTGTTATTTAATGCTACATGTCCTATTCTCAATCTAGATAAGATAACCTCCTTCCTTCTATTTCCATAACTTACTCTCTCTTTAGCAACACGCTCCTGGATCTTAAATAAATCCTTCCCTTTTCTTTCATTTTCCCAACTTTTTTGCCATTTCTTTTCAACTTCTATATATATCAATCTCTTTATTTCAGCTTTACTTATTGTAATTTGGAATTCAACTTGTAGTTGTTCCAGGGTCTTCTTTGCAAGCTGATCAACTCTCTCATTCCCCTCTACTCCAACATGAGCCGGCACCCAAAGAAAATAAACCAATAACCTTAACTGCCTTGTCCTATAAATACTCTGTAGAATTTCATACAATATGTCCTGTCGTGCTTCTGATTTTCCACTCCGTAAACTTGAATCTGCCATTGAATCTGTACAAACCACAACTGTATTAGGCTGGACCTCTTCAACCCACTGCAGTGCAAGACATATAGCTAATCATTCAGAAGTATATGCAGATACATGATCAGAAACTCTTCTAGCAACTTTGATATTGAATTTAGGTATATATATTGCAGCTGCTGTTCTTCCAGTCCCTGGGTCTTTAGATCCATCTGTGTATATCTGCAATACTGAATAATGTTTGATTTATATATTGTTTGGATGCAGTATCGAATGAACATTGGCATTAAGAAGCTTCCATAGTTCCAACTTTGACCCCTTTGCCGCTCACCTGTCGAAGCGTCAGCCAATCGTCAATGGTAAAATCAAATGACGTTGTGCACGCGCCAGTACGAAAATCAAAACATGATCGGTGAGATTTGGTTTAATCGACACCATTTTTTTTTTTAAACTCATTTTATTTTTTCTGATCGGCATCAATACAGTTACCAGGAATTTTAAATTTCTAGGTTAAGTATATTTAATTTCATGTTCTGCATTGTATTGAGGAGCTACATTGTAATTGCAGGTGACCTGAACTGCCCAACCTGTACCCTGATAAGAGGGGCTTTGGTTGGTGTAGTTGGCGGTGGCATATATCCCATTTTGTTGGCCTTACCGGTCAATGCTGGTCTTGCAGCCAGGTTAGTCCACAGTTACCACACTGCTTTTCTTAGAAATATGTGGCAAGTTATGTATGACTAATTGTAACTGATTTCCAATCGTCTTGCAGGTATAACAGTGCACCAATGCCAGAAAAGGGGAACATGATACGCTTCTGGACAAATGTCAGCAAACCCATTGTACAGAAGATGTATGTTGTTTTGCTGCTGCAGGGTTTGTTTGGAACCTACTTGAGCTCTAAACAGTTTGATATCTACCTAAAAATGCTGAAAATAACCGATTCTGACAGCGAACAGCTTCATGGTTAGCAGTTATTATTTATATTGATGTTGTAAATCTTTTTGTTAAAATAAGTGAAACACGCTTGACCAATGCCATAACCCAGTCTTGTCAGTTTTGTTCTTGGTTTTGATGTCTGATCAATAAATTCCATTCACTATACCTTTGCACTCTCTGCCCAAAAGTTGAAAAGCAAGAAATCTACCGAAGTTTCCAAAAAATAACCTAAATCACAAATTGAGGTACTTAAAAGAATTTAATGTCTTTTCTTATACCTCAGAAGTCTCTGAATAATGTAAACTGCCTGTCCATTATTTTACTAGATACCACAAAACATTAACTAGAGCTTGGCCTAAACAACCATTTGGTTTGTGTGCATGTATGAAAGGAAAATAAAGTGGATAAAAAGTGGTGCAAACACAAATAACTTTTGCTAATGTGTAACTTGTAAAATTATCAAATGGAGAACATGTGAAGCAATAACAAGTTTAGCTACTAATAACAAAAACAATGCACTGGGAAACAAGCTTATGGACCTTAATTACAATGTACATTTACTGCCACAAAGAGATCTTTTAATGTGAATTTCCAATTCCCGACCACAACAATCAAACGGTTCTGAAATGTAAACAGAAATATCAGCATTAGCTTTTAAATAAAATCATAAAAACTCCATTTAGTCATAGCGTTTCAGAAGATCTAGATTAATAGTCACTTGAATTTTTCAGTAACATTTAATTTTACAATGTAGTTTTATCATCTTGTTGAAATCATCTGACAAGCTGTTAGTTCTGAAATGTAAACAGAGAAATATCAGCATTAGCTTTTAAATAAAATCATAAAAACTCCATTTAGTCATAGCGTTTCAGAAGATCTAGATTAATAGTCACTTGAATTTTTCAGTAACATTTAATTTTACAATGTAGTTTTATCATCTTGTTGAAATCATCTGACAAGCTGTTATCAAGCTACTATCAAAAAGTGTTTCTATATCTGATGCAACAGTGTTGTAACAGATTCATTATGATGTTCGTTCTATACACTCTGACAGCAGTATGAAGTATCATGAATAAAAAATAAATAAAAACATCAACTGCACAGTTATACATTTCAGAACTGCTTGGGTTGATCTGCAACACTACAGAGCTGCAGTCGTTAAACATGATCAACAATGGCCCGTTTTTTTTTGGGGGGGCGGTGTTACCACAGCCCTTAAGGAATTTTGCAGTATACACTTGTATATATAATAGGGAGAAACCACCACCACTCTTTATCCACCCTGTAGAGAGATAAGAAAAGGCTTTTGTAGAGCCTGTTGCGAAGCAAGTGCTGTGTAAAAAGAGAAGGAGAGTGTAGTTAACATCTTATTAGGACACAAAACAATTTGCATTACTCAAATGAAAATTTATTACATTTCATTTCAAAACAGCTGCAGCCATGTGCCTGCAGTCTTTGGATTTCCATTACATATCACATATAGATGTTCATATTCAAAAACCATGACCCTTTCAAAAATGCTGTTTCAGAACATACTTATTGACAGATTTGACAACTGTCAAATAAAGCCCTAGTGCTTTAACATATCAAGATGAAACATGGATATGAGACAGATGTTCAATGTCTTGTAATAAAACATTACTATAAACAGGAGTTTAAACACTCATTTAAATGCTAAATGAGCATGACAGCATCTGACGTCTTTAGGGGTGTGAGAAAGAATCAGTAAAACTGTAACTTACACTGTTTCAAGTACTACCTTTTTTTAAATTTACCAGGCCATGATGCAAGCTGCTGGTCCCGATTCTTCTGCTTTCCCCACAGCAAAATCCACTTTAGCATAAAGAAAAATAAGGGTTCTACATGAAAAACATTCTTTAGAAAAATAGCGATATTTCAGAAAGGGCTCATCTAGTTTCAGCAAAATACAAGCCTGCATTGAAATCAACATCAATGTATCGACACTGAATAAACAGATACATAACAGATTAATTTAAGCAGAAGCCCTTTGTGAAACATCACCCGTTTACATAATTCTTTTTAACTTTTTTTTTGTCAACTTAACTACTTCCCTCAAAGTCTACTTTAACTGAAATTACATACTACAACGGTGTAATCCAATAAACATCCAAAGTATGTAATTCAAAAAACAATGCTTAATTTCTTTTTGTAGGTTATCTTCAATACTTTAAACAGACAGCAAATGAAAATGAAACAAAAATTATAGTTTATTTACAGTTCATATTGTGCCGTGAACTGGCAAAAAGCATTGTCTTCATCTTAGGAGTTAACCAGTTCTGTGCAGTCTTCTACTTCTTGATCCTTACCATGGATTTCAGCAGTCAAGGATGTTCTGTGACCCAGTCATCCAGCATGGCGGACCAAGCACCTAGAAGAAAACTGTCAACAAGTTTAGCAGTAACTTGTATTGAAAGCAAGTTCAACAAACATGCCATTCAAGCTCTGCACACATTTAAACAGTTAACTCTATATTTGACAACTACTGTCATCATGTCCCCTCATTTACATCTTGTGCAAATGTTCAGTCTTGGGAAACGTTGAAAATGTAAAATACTTGACCCTACATTTTATGCGACAAGCTTGAACTCTCTGCACATTTGGTGCAGAATTCCACCGAGACGTGGTCTTTGTCCACATGCAGGCAGACGCCACCTGCAGTATCTTTGTCTTCCACCTTCACCCTCTTCCTCGGCATGGCATAATCGTGGTCGTTCTCGTTGGATTCCTGGAAAAGTGAGGTAGAGAATTTCATGCCGTTCACACCGCTCAATCTAGACAACAGCTGAGCCAGCATGCTCTCATTGGCCAACACGGCTCTCAAGTACCTAGTTTCATTCTCCAACTCTTCCACTCTCTTGTTGAGATTGCCGTTTTCCTGCTTGAGAACACGATTTTCTGTTGTCAAAGAACCAACTCTCCGTTCCAGGCCACTGACGTATTCTTTCTTCTTTAAACGGTTCATCCTCGCAGCAATGGCATTCTTGTTGATGGTCCGACTGGAGACGTCTTGAAGTTTTGACCTCTGGACTGCACCTCTACTGCGGGATGTGGCAACATCAAGTACTGCGCTTTGGTCTGTCTCATCGCTGGTCGCTGTCTGTGATTCAAAGTTGACGAAAGCATCAAGCACTTCGTTGTCCAGCTCCCAGTTGAACCCGGAGCCAAGCAGATCATCCAGGCCCCAATCATTGGTATCGCTTTCTGGGGAAGTTTGCATGTCCGTTTCACTTGTATTACTGGTTTTCGAAACACCATCAATCTCGTGGGAGGTACTTGTACATGTGATGTCAGCGTTTAGGCTGCTTCTTCCTCTTTTTCTGGTGATCATGGCTGTGTTTCTGGATATTGTGGAAACTGCATAGAAACAAAACATTAGGAAATTAGCAAAAAATAAATAACAGCAACAATCTGCACACAAATGGGTTTATTTTTATTGTATGGGAAAAAGCAATGAAAATTACAGATATATAAAGCTGCCAAACCACTGAGAAATGTTCGACTAGAAGTGAGGATGTAAATTGTGGAGAGTTAGCACGTTCGAGCTCAAAAAATTGGGAAAAAATGGGGAGAAATCGATCCACATGCTTCCGTACTTAGCAAACAACACCTAAAAAAACAGAGATATCGGGGGGTTTTTTATAATTAAAAAAAACGTGCAGGTCAATCTATCCTCTTACTTTTAATATAATAATCGATATATTAACAACTATCAAATACAACAAAGAACATACCTTTCGCAGTGGTTTTGTTTAGTAGGCCGCTGTAGCGCGCCTTGAATCTGCGTGACAAAGCAGTTTCTTCACGCAAAGAACTACACATATTTTTGTTTATAACCGGAGCAACTTACATTAAATCGAATGCTGATGTCTTCTGAGGTCGATTGGATGAAGAAAAATGCGAGAAAACTAAATGAACAGGACAGAAAAGATATTTAAGCTCAGACGTTGTAAAGTCAAGCCACGCGCTTACGACGACACTGAGAGGAACTAAAATGGCGACTCAAGTATCGCGATACTTAACATAAGCATCGCTTATCATACAGGAGGAGCAACGATTGGGTATGTTTTTTTTTCTTTTCAGAATCGGTTGCTGTCAGTCTATAGTTCCTTACACAACAACATGTACGTTTATTTATTACTAGATATACAGAATTGTACATGTAAAAGTGATGCCAGTTTATAAAAGTTTAAAGTTTATTAAAATCAACGTCTTAGGATACTCTCTCAAGGCAATAAACAAACGATCTTATTTGCTGCAAATTGAAAGATTTTAAAACATTTTTATTTTAAGACATTAAATCCGCATACTTTACAATAACACGCATATTATATTTTTCATTATCTTTGTCTTCCTCAACAAAAATGTCAAGAAACCGTCAAGTTAACTCCTATATATTTAACATTACATATTGTCTTCCTACATACTGCATTCTTCATGTTCACAATCATTTTTCATGTATTTGTTCAAAAGTGTCACCATATGCCTCAGTTTCTTACTATCTAGACATTCTTGCCATGACCATCATTCTCAAAGGTAAAATATCTTCCACCCATTCATTCGGAGATTGCATCATTCTCTCCCACAGGGCTGCTTCAGCAACATTAGAGTCCATCCAGTTCACTTCACTGCCATAACTTTTACCTGCAATAATACTGACAATCAGTTGTGACCATTTTACACATTTTTTAAGTATGGTTGTAATTTCTCTTTCAATTACCTGTTCCTGGACCCAGCCTAATACCTCCAATGAAGTGGTTGTTGAGTCTGTCGTGATCCCACACAGTAAGCTCCACGCAGGCCTCTTTGAGGTCCTCTTGCCTGAAACCATCGTACACCATGGTGTGGTTAAACACTGGGTTAGATGCCCTCTTCAACACTCTGGTCTTCTGACGGCTTTTCCGGCTGGTATCTGGGAGGACTGCGCTGAAAAGACCAAATTCACACGTGATGGGCATCCCACATTTAATGATCCAACATGTATACAAATATATCCAATGAAACAGCTATAAATACCATTTGACAAAGGGGTCAATGGCAACACCTCTGGTAACAGGCAGATTCTTGCATTCTTTCACCCATATTTGCACCTCACCATTCCCCTTGTTCTTGTGACCTACAGAATTAACATGTTATCAGAAAGAAAGATGCTTCTAAAAACATATTTTTAGTCAAATACAAAGTGTCAGCATCTTACTGTGAGAAGTCTGTGGGACAAAACGCAGAGCGACTTTAATCTCTGCACTCATTTCTGCGCTGCCGACAGAATGTTTTGGGCTGGTGGGAACCTGGACCTGGGTTGATAAAGAAATACATGCTTTAGTGGAATTCCAACAAACATGACCTCATACCCTTTAGCACAGGATTTTAGATGTGTTGTTCACAGACTTCTCAAGAAAAGCACTTTAGAAAAATGTTTTGCTGTCCATATCTTCAACAATATTAATCTAGATACAGATTTGTTCTGTGGGCCTGCAGTTAAAGACTATCCTAACAGGTTATTTTAACCAAATAGACATGACTATTGTTATCTTACCCTTCCTTTAAGTAAATATTCATTCATCTGAGTGTTACTGAAATCCCATTCGGCCAAATCGAGCTCAACCTCTCCAAGAAACATGTTACGCCCAAATGTGTCATTGTGCCACACAGAGGTGTTCAGCTTCTGGGTTTTCAACGTCTCCACTGGAATCTTAAACTGCATGGAAAAGACAACTTTGATCATCAAATTCAAAACATATCTGAAGAAGTTTATAATTCTCATACCCGTAGTATTTCATTGAAAGTTGGATCCAGAGTCTTCTTCCTCACGCATGTTTTTTTCTTTCCATATTTTGCTTTGTCAGGTAACAAGTAACATTTAACATACCTGAAGTTCAATCAAACAAAGTACATATATGATTGTTTATCTATCTTGAGAGAAGCTATATTCTTCTGTTGACTAATATTATTTCACTTACGGATCAGATCGGTTCCTCTTAACATCCGCCACGGCGAGGTCCTTGCATTGCACAACAAAGACGTGGAACTCTCCCAGTTTTTGCACGTAGTGAATGGCGAACTGGATTGTGCCTTTGACCTCCACATTACCAAACTCACTACTGTAGATGCTCATTACACTGCCAGTGACCTACAAATACCCCGCACAAAGACACAGATCTATACAGAAACCTTTTCATTATTGCATGTTATAAACATTAAAAAAATAGATTGATACGTGCATTTGCATTATATTAGAGCAAAATTAGTTCTATTCAGAATCATTGGGTTGTGTTGGGGTCACATACAGAGGACATGGAGGCCACTTCAGAGCAAGTGCTAAAATTAGAAGGAGTGTTGCATGTTCTCAGTCTGTCATAGTGGAAACTGCTCACTGATGCACAGTCACTGTTTCTGAAATCCATCTAGTAGTCACATGCACAAACAACAGGAGATTGTAAGCTTGTATGCAGGTTAATAAAGGCAGTGGATGGTGGTGTTTAGCTACAGGCAGTGATAAGGCAAATCATAAAAATAAGACATTTTAGAACTAATCCAGTGTTATTCAACATCAGCATTTAAGATGCTCATGGGTTTTGGTTTGTATTTTACCTCTTGCATGAATGCAGGCACTGACATACTCATCATCTTCACCTGTTCTGGGTCAGAGAAGGATGTTTTGGTGTTGGAAGTGACTGCAGATACTGAGACAAAGGAAACAGTAATTTGGTGGATGCACATTCTGGATCAAGATACAGATGGAATGAATTTGAGTTAGTTTTAGTAGAAATAACTAATTCTGAAGAGTTCTGAGATTTCGAAGAGCACATTTTATATTTTATATAGATAACTGATTTAGTTACTCCATCTACCTCACCATTAGATGCATGATTTGGGTGGTACGGAATGCAAACCACTTTAATCGTTGCCATTAATCCATGTGCTCATCAAATTTTCATGTGTCAGTTAATGCATTCCCTTAGCCATTTCAAGTAAAATATACATGAAAGACCAAGGGTCGATTATGAAAAGGAGGTTTAATGTCCTTGATGCTAATTTAATGTCAGGGGCTTACCTTCTGCTCTTAATGTAATAATGCAAATGTATAATACTCTATGAACATTAGTTAATAAGCTACAGCAGAGGCTGATATCAAAATCATTTAAAATAATTATGAAATGTATTTACAAATTGACATGCATTTACTTTATTACTGATTTATTAAAAAGACAAATATTTAAAATTTTCCATACTCAGCCCAACATCACTTCTTGGTTCAGATGACAACGATTTAAACAAAAATGGAGTAATTATGTTATAAAACATTGTGAAATGCAGTACAGCATAAAATGCTTGAGAAACCTGGGTATGCTATCTCTCAATTACACTAGAGACATTGGGAGTTATTAACAAACGTCCAGCAGAGGGCGAAAGAGACTGTCACTCGTACAGAACTTAGGTCTCTGTAATAGCCATGATCCTCAAAGACCAAAACATTTTTACTTTACCTTAAATAAGGTCTTAAAGTCAACAAAACATAGGGCAGGAAAGATAACGGAAACTTACGTAAAGGTGTGGAAGCCAGGTCCTCTAAACTCTTGGAAATAGAGATGGGTCTGGCATTGGCTCGTTCAAGGGCAGCGTTGACAGGGCTGTCATCCTCACTGTCCCCTGTCACAGCCCATATCAAAAAAGAATCAGCAAACCATACAAAAACAGAAGTCTACTGATCCATTATATACAACTATTAGTACTGAATATCTGATTTGAAACACTGATTTAATGTGGTATTTCCACCCATTAGCTTTCTGATTTCAGGGGATTTGAAATGTATATGTAATTATTATGTACAATGTATGTAATTTTAAATCATTTTAAAAAATAGCATAAGAGTGACCAAAAAAGCTAATTAAAAATCAATATAGCCAAATAATAAATAATTTAATATTAGTTATAGATTTAAAATATAACAGATTAAAAAAATAAAATAATTATGAAATATAAAATGTAATAAATTAAAACAATATAATAAAGACTTTAATGATTGTAAGCTGATTTTTCAGTGTCAGAGGTACTTGTGTTCATTTGACTGTAAACAATATTTCCAACACAATGTTATCAAATGAAATTTACCAAGAATTAAAAAAATTACAAATAATAAAAAAAAAGTTTCATGATTTCAAATAAAAAAGTTCTGATTGCTGAATTAGATCATTATAGAAACACGTAGAGGCAGGGCTTAAATAGTTATAAACCTGTAGAACAAGAAGGCCATTTTATCATGTCTACAAAGTTGAGCAACTTACTTGAGCAAAGTATCAAGTAGGACATGTTTCTCAGGTCACACTGAGCAATTGTTTTAATGACATAAACCCTGCTTCCACAAGAATCACAGAACCAATCAAGTTATTTTCTACTGAAACTAGACTGAACCAAAATGGAGAGGTGAGCTCACAGTATGAACTGGCGTGTGAGATTGACCAGGCTTCAGGTGTGGAGCTCCCAGAGGAGTCAAAGGTGATCTCCTCTGATTCAAGCAGGGAGTGTCGAGAAGGGGAGCTTTCATTGCTCATTCTGCCTTGGCTCACCTGTTCAAAAGTTTCACCCGCCTGCACCGTAACCTGTTTTCTTTCATCTAAGACTGCCTGCACAGATACGCCCAGGTAATGGTGTAAACTCAGGGAAATATAAAACCGGGTCAGAGAGTCCGCTGACCACTTTCGTTCTTTGGGCATGATGGGTCTTACATCACAGCCTCCATCTGAAGTCTTCCTGTGGTGTTCAGGAGAGATGCAAGACCTGGTTTGCCCTGGATTAACCCTTACAGTGCATGGACTCTTGTTGGTGGGATTGATATCTATCGCAAAGGTTCTTAAGGGAGAACCTAAGGGATCCTTCCTGGTTTCTTTGTTTGGATATGAATCTCTACGAGGTACTTTAGACTGCAGTAATGGGCTGGGAGTTCTGGTTTGATCTTGGTCTTTTGGGTGGTAAATGTCAGTGGACTGTGGCTCATCATGTTGACCTTTTGCAGGGAGACTTCTGAGGGGAGATGATGGTGGACTTGGCTTTGAGTGTTCGTCTGAAATGGACTGTTTGAAATGAGAAATATTCTGGGTGATGTAAGGTACCCTACCTCTGATATCTTGAAGGTCTTGTAATGGCACTGTACTTGGACATTTTTGGTTTTCCTCGGTCTGTTCCATCTTCTCTTTTTGTGTCAGTCCAGCCTCTTTGAAACTCATTCTGGGGAACTTTGGCTGGTTGACCTGATGTCAAACTGAGGTTCAGAAAGTGCCATTGAAGAATGTTTTGGAGATGACTCTGGGGCTGGATCTTTAACATTAGCTGTGCACGTTGGTGAGCCTACAATTACTCTAAGGCCACTTTTTTCTTTCTCCCAAAATGAATTGAGATCATTAATTGAAACATTATCCTCCTGTTGACTTAAGGACATTTTGAAGGTGGAGATTTCCTTCTTCAAGTCAGTTATGTCCCTAGAGATTGACTCTTCTTGTAGCTCATTGCCCAGAGATTTATCTTTGTGTTTTAGCAATGAACTAGGTGACAATTTGGGATTCATTTTTACTGTGAGAGTTTGTAGTTCACTGCTTGAAACTTCTGAGACCCTATTGCTCTCCGAACTAGAAGGTTTCTCATCTTCATGTGAGGATATGGCTGATATATCAACACCATTGGATGTTCTTCTAGGTGAGATTGGAGAAATCTCACATGATGTAGATTCTACATCAACTGGATTTGGGTTTGGATCATTGGGATTGGGTTTGGATGGGCCGATGCTGGAATCTGACAACCTTCGTTCCACAGCATCGTGATAATTCTCATTAAGCTGAGATGGCTCACGTACTTCTACCTCGGCTTCTCTTTTGATGCTCAGTATTTTAGGTCCTTTGTTCCCCCTTTCCCAGAATGACTTCAGGTTGGCCAGTCTTCCTGGTGATATTTCACCTGGGTCAAACGTCTCTCTTTGAGGAGGATCTTTGCATATTGGTTTGTCTGTTTTTTCCTGCAGTATTTCTGCAGTCTTGCTATTTGTAGGAACAGAGGTCTGTGGAAGTATATTATCATCTTCAGACCTCAAAGTACAAGATATTTTATATTCTGAACTTTCTGTTTTATCTTGACTTATCTCTTTTTGGTCAGATGCTTGAACTTCAGGACTATATATATATATATATATATATATATATATACTGACAAAAGCACATAAAAATGACTAAAATTTAAATAAAAACTGAAAATATAAAAATAAAAGCTAATTCAAAATATAAATAAATACTTGTAATAGTATATGCATAATACTAAAATAATGCCACAATAAAATGATCAGTTGTGAATTACATATACAGTGATTTTTTTATTAGATAAGCAACACAATATCACTATGAAATACTATTAAAAAAAATTTCATATTAAATAGTAAATAGTAGAATCACCATATAATTTGTAAAATCAGCAAAACAGATTTTGGTAGTTTAAGATTACATTTTATCAGTAAATGAAATATGAAGTTAAAAACTTTTTAAACATACGGCATTAAAATGCGAAGTCCTGTAATGCCTGAATCTTTGTCACCATTTTTTCAGTTAACATTTAACTGAACCATTTTTTATAGACATACTCTACGGGGTGTATAAAAATCAATTTGAGGATAAATTTAGAAGATAATTCTCACCCTCAGCAGGTGTCTGATCAGCCTCTTTCACTCGATTGATAAGTCTGGCATCATCTCTCTGCGATCGCACATTATTGAATGGATTCTGCCTTGGCTTCATAATACATTTAATGGAATCATAAAAATGCATAATAAAGAAAACTGAAAATTCAGCAAAATGATCTTAGTAACTGGATTTAGTGTAGTGTACCTTGATCTGAGGTCTCTGCCTTTCCCGCTGGGCTTCCGGCAACTCATCATCCACCCTGTATGGAGGTGATTTGGTCATATAGATTCATATAAAAAATTCTGATGAATTAAATGCAAGATTCACCAACATGATAAAAACCAACAGGCCACTGAAAGCTTTGTGCATTGTGAACAGTTTCTATATTTTTATATTCAATCATCAATACATCTCTATGGTGCTGGTCCTGAAGCCCCTGGGAAGTCACAAGATTCAGCAAGCACTAAGTTTCCATGCTGCGATGTGACAGTATAATGCCATTACATGGTGTCAGACAGAGGGAAAAACAGCAGCACGTGAAATCTGACCCTTGAAGCAGCTTACTGGCTCCAGATTCCCTCACCAGTGTCTAGGGTTAGGTACCGTTCACATTTTAACCGGTACGGTACCGGTATCGGTACCTGAATTTCGGTGCCGGTACCCAACGGTACCTTTTTTCGGTACTTTACTCTCTGTGTAATTACAAAAACATTTATTTCAGTGAAAAAATAAGTCCAAAAGTCTCAATTTCAACATTTTGTACATTAGGGCCCTACAAACTTTTTCTTTCTTTCTTTATTTATTTTTCCAGAAATTCTTGTTTTAATTTTTCTGAAAATCAAATGAAGGCATAAAATATTTATTTTAAATCAAATTAAAATTAAACCCTTTTATTTTTTGGCAAACAAACTGAGGTTTACTTTTGAAATTAATACATGGAAGAAAATTTTTTCAAACATTTTCAAACATTTTTTAATAGGCTAATAATTGTATTGTTTAGTGGCTACTTCTGGTTTATTCGTCCAAAATTTACAAATTCCGTGGCATTCCGCGCTATAGAGTAAATGACGTTTTTATGAATGGACTCCATGATCCCGTCCGTGTTTTCGCAGAAACCATATGGCCCTAGAAATGTAACCACACTTCAGAACATTTCGGCTTGCCCTGTGTGTTGTTTGAAAGAGTTGCAGGGGTGACATCACGTCACAGGGTCTCTCTTTCTCTCTCTGTAGTGTATGCGCCCAGATGCGTTCTCAGGTATTGAAATTTGGCACCGATTGATTTAACGTGAATCGGTACTCGGTAGTACCGACGCAATTCGGTCGTTACCCTTAAATATTCCCGAGTTCGGTACCCAACCCTACCAGTGTCTGGGAAAACATGGGACAAATTTGCCCTACAGATTATGTTAGACCTAGAGTACAGGTTCACTCCTGAATCTCTGCCAAATTCACAAACATTTCATAAACAAGTATGCATAAACTGGTAGACAGATTACGTTTCTTTTCATGTTGTTTTACATGAGCTGTGATATGAGAGCTTTAAAAGCTAGTGTCCACAAAATTAAGGCTGTTGATGACAGCATGATCAGTCCAGCCAGGCAAATGGGCGGATGCAGCGTTGGGGTGTTGAAAAGGCAGAGCCGTCATAATTTCCTTTAATCAAGTATAACAATGGCATGTGCTTGGTACTGATAACAGAAATGCAATTTTGAGTTTAGGAACTTTTTATTGCTACTTTTTAATTATTAATTTGTGTTCAAGGCATTTTTAATTATTTTGCATGGAAAATGTTACATGAATTTGCTGTCTGAAAAAAAAGATAAATAAATAAAACGTACACATACCCACTCAGATGTTCCTTTTTTTCCCCCAGTGAAAATATTCTACATAATAATAGCTGTTAAAACTCCAGATTTGCTATCACAGTGATAAATTAAATCTTAAAACATAATAAAACAGAAAGCTGTTATTTTAAACTGAAACAATATTTCAAAATATTACTGTTTTTACTGTATTTTTATATGAGTTTATATAAAGACCTAATAGTTGTTATAAAGTGTTTTGTTAAGCTTTGGTTGTATCTCGCCTATGGCATGAAAAATAGGTGCATGAACACAACCATATAATTATGCAACATTTAACATTTTTGTACCTGGTATCATAATGACCAGCATACCTAATTACATAAATTACAAACATTCATATAAACGTGATTACACTGCATTCTACAAGATTTCACATCACAGGTATGACAAAAACAAGAAAAAACAACAATATTCCAGCATGTACTGCACCACGTTTCAATCAGATGAAACACTGTACTGGAATGTTTGAATCATAAATATACTTAAAGGGTTAGTTCACCCAAAAATGAAAATTAGGCTGTGTGGCGCATGCGCAACGCTGACCTCATACGCCATCAGCCCGGAACTGCTTCTGTGTACAACTGTTGGCGCAAGCTAGATTAAAGTGATTATTACGTTTTGAATATGGATTTTAATATAACTCCGACTGGATTCGTCTGAAAGAAGAAAGTCATATACACCTAGGATACCTCGGGGGTGAGTAAAACACAGCCTAATTTTCATTTTTGGGTGAACTAACCCTTTAACACCAAAAGCTCACCTCTCATTGTGTGATTCTGTGGATGGATCCTCAATAAGGCCTAAAAGCTCTGGAGGGATGTACACATCTTTCTTCTCACCATAAACACAACTGGGTTTCTCAGACCATCTTTGAGAAAGTTCCACTACAATGAGACATTTGTAATGCTCAAACATGCATTAACAGACACAACACCACATCTAAAATCATCTAATAGAACTACATGACATACATGATTTAATAAATGCTTTGATTTATGGGTAATTTTTCATTAAAGCTAAAAATACATATATATATAGCAAAAAAAAATATTATGTAAAAACTTTATTTAAATACTGCTAATCTGGGACGGGGTACATGCAATGGAAATAATGAGAGACATCAACAGATCCCATTCTCTATCTGATTCTGTCCGCTGGCAACACTCACATATCGTCACAGGTTTCTTCTGTCTCATGGACACTCTTATGATGTCGGAGCCATGGATCCTGTCTCTGTGTCTGTGATTCTTTGTCTCATAAAACCACTCCCCAGTCAAGTACTTCAGCCTGCTTCTGTCTCGCTCAGTCTTACGAAGCTGCCTGAAAGGACATCAAATTTATAAATAAATACACACATACATACATACTGTGTGTGTATATATATATATATATATATACATATATATACATACATGTATAAATGGTCATAGAACAAAAACATCCTGATGTCCCAGCATTACACTGAGCTTTAGCAGTGACATCCAAACTGACAAATCCCAGACATTGTCTAAACTGTAAACTGTTACTCTGGACTGTTTAACTGTGAGAAGTGAAACTGGTTTTGTTTTGGGGGGTTTTCAGGACCCAGATATTATGTTGGACATTAAATGGCAACTAACACAACCTCAAACCTGTAATAAATATTTAATGTAGCCTGGGACAAATTTTCTTTTATACATTTGACGACAGTATGTCATACAACCTGTTTATGTTTGCATCTGCATCAATTAATGGCAAAATATTAAACAGTTTGATGGAATAAATGGCTTTTGATTTTATAAGCTTTTGTAGTTTTCTATCTTAACTATGCACAATAATATGGTGGGTCACATTTTATTGTTTGCTGTTTTTTTTTTTTTATTACTATTATTTTATTACTATGTATTATCCTATTGGAACAGACCTGTGAACCATTTTGGGGTTAATTCAATCTATTCAGTAAACAAATACAAAAAGGAGAAGGCAAATGAAGATGTAGAATTATTTAAGACATTAAAAATCAATAGCCAGGGGCATTAGTTTCAAGGGATAGTTCAGAATGAAAATTCTGTTCACATTTTCTCATCTCATCAAAGCGTCTGCTAAATGACTAAATGTCATCCTCATGTTGTTCCAAGCCTGTATGACATTCCGTGGAACATAAAAGAAGATGTTTAGAACATTGTTTTTATTGCCCATACATTGCAAGTAAATGGTGTCCAGGGTTATCGTGGATGTTCTCCAGTGGTAAAAGATATCCATCTGTTTATATACAAAAACAATGGAAAAGTGGAAATATGGAATGCAAAAATGCATTCTGTGTGAATGGCCCATTAATGGACTATTGCTTTAATAACTAGTTACGCCTGGTTATACATGATTAGAGCAAATGAATTTATTTTCTTCATCCACCAAGGAACCTTTCCGCCAAACTCACTTGACCCTCTGTTCTTCCAACTTCTTAAGCTCTGCATCTCTCTTCAGCACTGCCAGGATCATCTCTTGCTCTTCCTCGGTCAGATAACTCAGGTCGATCATGATGAATGGCTTCAGGGTAGGTGATGATAACAGATGAGTCTCAGATCGCCTCTGACTGGTTCACTGAAAGTGTCAAGAGCATCACAGAGGGTAACTTGAAGGCTGATGCTTGATAAGTCACTGCATCACATCATGGAGAACATCAGAGGAGCACCTGCACCAGACAGACAGAAGGAGTTTCAACAAACACAGTATGAGCTTGGCTCACAAAGAACGATGTCTTCCCTGTGAATTCTTCTAACCATTAAGACATCACATGATCCTAATTGTTCCTAATGAATCTGTGAGCCGGGCTTTCAAGACTTCTGCTTCGAGCATCATCTATGCTTCCCTAAACATCTGAAATGACATTGTTTCTCTATATCAGCTCCGGTCCATACAGTATGTGCTCAACACTGGACATGTGACATGGCATTGTCAGATGACTATCAGAGGATATGGGTACTGGCTGCTTCTCAGAGCAAAGAGCGCCGTCAAAGACTCTTTTATTCCTAAATCAAATTACACAAATCAAATTAGGTGGCAGCACACAAATGGTATCAATTTGAACAGTCTGCTTTTCTAAAAACAGTTTAGAAACCCATGGAAAAAATAGGAATACGTCTAAACCACTTAAAGAACTGGAATTATGATATTTTTGGATGGAATGACCATTGGCAGAATTCCACATGTCTGGATAAGGTAATATAACAAACAGAATAAATGCTGAAAAAAATTCGAACAAAATATTTTCTAAAAGAGCTTTGTATAAGAGGCAAATTCCTTTTCATTGCATGGTGCCAGTGACTTTTATGAATAAACTGTATTGAAAATCTCTTATAAATAGTTTACAAAGAGCTTAAAGGGGTCATATGATGCTGCTAAAAAGAACATTATTTTGTGTATTTGGTGTAATGAAATGTGTTTATGCGGTTTAAAGTTAAAAAAACACATTATTTTCCACATACTGTACATTATTGTTTCTCCTGTATGCCCCGCCTTCTGAAACACGTCGATTTTTACAAAGCTCATCGGTCTAAAAATGATTTCTCTCAGTACAAATCAGATTTCAAAACGACACAGTAAAGCATTTAAGTGTCTGCTGCTTCTGAGAAAAGCATGTCATGACAACATAGTTGGGATGATCACCTGAGGCGGGATCTGTAAATCATAACTTTTCAAGGGATATGCCATTACCAAAATAGAGAAGAACTAGTCTCATCCAGACACAGTAAACATGAATAATACATGTTAACCATTTGCCTATTCCACATCCCTTTGAGGCATGTACCATAACAAAGAGTTGCCACCTGGTTTGGGTTCACTTATTATAGGTTCACTTATTATTTTCAGGTATCACTTATTATTTTCAGTGACTAAGAGAATGTTTTAGTTTTTTTTCATCCTAGATAATGTAAATCGTGTGCATAAAAAGCTTTGAACATGCTACCTTATCAAGTGGAACATTAAAGTGTTTGTTTGTTGATTTCTTTTTTGGGGGGGGGAGG